TTTTTAGACAGGGCCTGAACCCGTTTAATCGGCTCAAAAGGCTATATTTTTTGGCCGGCCTACGGGGGAAAACATAAAAAACCGGAGAATATTCTTTTCCGTGGGTGAGAAGATAAAACCGGCCTTTGACTGCCATATTCGTTTCCGTAGATAGGGGAACCCGTTTAATCGGCTTCAAAATGATAAATACCCTCAGTGGGGAAATGTTGAGCGGTCTCTGACTGCGCGCGCCTTCTGTCGAACTGCGTGAGCAGAGAGGAACCTGGACGAGGCTTTGCCGAAGGGCAAGTTTTCGTGCGTTAGAAAGAGGATCCCGTGGGTGAAATGATAAATGCTCAGTGGCGTCTCGCGACTGCGCACGCCTCCCTGTCTTCTGCGTTAGCAGAGAGGAACCGAAGGGCGAAGGGCAAGGTTTTCGACAGGGCCTGAACCCGTTTAATCGGCTTCAAAAGGCTATTTTTTTGGCCGGGCCTACGGGCTCGGAAACCCCTAAAACCCCGTGCCTCGGCGGTGAAATTAAATACTCAGTGGTGTTGAGCGGTTTTGACTGCGCCGCCTTCTGTGAACTCTCTGCGTTAGCAGAGAGAACCCGGACGAGGCTTTGCCCCGGGTTCAAATAAAACCGGCCTTGTGCCATATTCAATCCTCGTGGGTGGATCGATAAATACTCAGTGGTGTTGAGCGAGTCAGTCGATGTCGGACATTGGAGTATCAACCAGCACAACTAGATTGCTGCGTCATTAACTCTTATTGCAATTTCCTAACGTTTTGTACGTCGGACTCTTTTAGGACAGACTTAGTGAAATACAAGCCTCCACTGTAAAAACTAATCTACAACAAAAAGCCAGTGTGTTCTTCCCTCCGCACCCCTCAATCGTGAGCCTGATTGGGGGCCCTGGATAGTACTTTTTGAGCTTTGCTTGATTATCAACATTTACTTTTTTTCTGCCTACATTTATAGGTTACAAATTAAACTAAGTACAATTGACTATTAAAGAATGAAAAAATGTGGATTTTGACGTCATTCTGTGGTCTTGTTTTTATTTACATCCAAATCCGTGATTTTGTTTTAATCATGCTAAGTCTTGAAAAAAAAACACTATATAGAATTTACTGTTTTATTTCATTGCATTTAAATGTATACCCTCTAAAAATTTTGCTGAGTGCGCCATGATATTTTCATTTGCTCCTAAGTGTGCTGTTGCTCAAAAGTTTGAGAAACACTGGTTTATACCATCCATTTACAGAAGTTTGTAAGGCAGCTACCTCGCTACTTTCGTCTGTCACTTTTGCCTTAAATATAACCATTGGCTGTCAGATTCTCCAAGCATTCTTTCCTCATTATATGTTCTATAAATTTCAACTGTCTCTTTCTTATTTTAAGTAAAGGCATCCATTATGTTTCCACTTACCTGATGTCTTCCTAACAAAGTTTTAAAATGTCTCAGATCAATTTCTATTCTAATGTGACATTCAAATGTTGAACACTCGTCTAAGATTTATCCGAGTTCAAGTTCAAAGATCTTGATTCATATTTTCCTCACATGATCAAATCTACTGTACGTACGTATATCTGTGCATTTAATACCAGAAATATGTGGTTTACCATAGCGTTCAAACACAAAATAACAGGATAATGAACGGTGGGGTAAAAACAATTTTTAATGGATAACACGGTATAATTTTTCAAAAAAATAATTTTTAATAGATAATATGTTACAATTTTCCACAAAATAATTTTTAATGGATATGTTACAATTTTTCAAAAAATATTTTTTAATAGAAAATATGGTACAATTTTTCAAAAAATAATTTTTAATGGATAATACGGTACAATTTTTCAATAATAATTCATAGGGATATCTTTACCAGGGGTTCATATTATACTGAAGAAAGATATTTTACTTATTTTTAGGTTCAAGTCCAAGGTCTTGTATTATAATCAAGTTGTATTTTACACAAGAAAATACGGTAACCTTCAATGATAATAATTTACTCAGCCAAGACATACTCATCAGCAATTATCTGATGCTAATAAAAAAACGCAGTATAGTTTTATTAACCACTCATTATTCCATTGCTTTTCTTATTCTTTTATAGCATAAAATATTGGAATTGACATTGCAATTACAAAGTTGTGCTAACATGGATGTGTACCAGAAGTTAAAGACGTCTTTTCTTACTTGAGAAGTGTGACATCTGGAAAAGTTTAATTAAACATCTTCATCTGTCGAAGCGGTTAAAAGTTTCTCATAAAGATACGGTTAGGTCGTTCTCCGTGGAATATGCCAGGCAAGTCGTTTTAGAGTGAGTACAGACGGAAGTGATACGGAGTTCGATCTATTGTATAGTACAATCTACTCTATGTGAGTCGTTGTGTACTTTCCAACTTCTATAAGCGGCGTTCCTTCAGGACGTAGGCGATTATGACTCTTCACAACTTCCTGTAGCTTTTAAAAAGTGTTGTCTTTTGTTATCTCTCCTAATCTTCCGCTATTCATCAAGTTCACAAAGTCGGTTATCTATCTTTTCTACCTCTGCCTCTTGCCTTCAATCTGTCTCCTAGGTACCAAAAAAAGATATCGTTACCATCGTATACAAGACAAACATATCAAAATAAAATTACGAATGGGACATCTCAAGAGGAAAGCGTACATGCGATCCATCGCTAAAGACGTTGGGAAAATGGAAGGTTCCCTGTACCGCTCTAGTAAGTACATCATCCTTCTAGTTTAAATCTACCTTTACAAGAGCCAGATCGGGCCGAATATAGAATACTGCTGCCTTATACTGGCAGGAGTTGCCCAGTCTTCAACAGAGTCTTAAAGCGTTTCTGCAACCTTGTGGGTGATTAATTATTTTCCACAATACAAACCGTTTCCCCAAAGGCGAAAGCCTCTTGCTACTCTATCGCTATTTCAAAGGAAAATTCTCATCCGGATTTCGCCCCTTAGTTCCAGCAGTTCTAACATTTACGACTAAGACCTGTCATGCTACGCATATAACGGACTACAACACATTCCCTTCGCAGAACTGACTCCCAAGACGATGCTCCCCTGATCGCTACACCCTTAAGATGACCAAGTCTAGAGTTAATAGTTATCTTTTCCACATATTATGCCACTTATTCTGTTATCCTCTACCAGAAATGGATCTCGGATCTTGTATAGGATGAAAATCAATGTAAAAACATCACTTCAAAATACACTCCCAAAGACAAACTTCACAATTCTGATTAAACCACACCAAACATTACGTTACGTCTATAAAATGTCTTTAATAACGTCTCAATATTGAAATAGGAGTGACATAAGACCCAACTGAATAAGGGTTATTAGGCTCAGTTAAAATTCACATTACGTCACGAATCCTGAATTTTTAGGTTCGTAGTGTACCACATATATTGCATTCATAGCAACACAGGTATATATATGGCAAGGTATCATGATAGCTTCGAATTGAGCCCATTCACTCGTGGATTGGTTTCGAATTGAGCCTAGTTAGCGTGATAATTGTTTCAAAATGAACTCATTCATCTTAAAACTGATTTAGAAGACAGCCAATTCCTCTTAATTCTTATTTCGAATTGTACCCATACATCTTAACACTGTTTTCGAATTAAGCACATTCCTCTTAAGATTCATTTCGTACTGAGAACATTCTTCTATAAACAGATTTCGAATCGAGACCATTCCTCTTTTGACAGGTTTCGATTTTTTTTAAGCATTTCACCCCAAGCAAGCGGAATGCCACTAACGCACAAGGGGTGACCAAAAATGGAAGCAAGATTAAAGCGTGGAGTTTGAGGAAATGATATAGAGAAGGACGGGGATCAGGATCAAAGAATCAGAAGATGTCGATTTAGATTTGAATATTTGAAGATTATAGCCATCAAGGAAGCAAGGAGGGGGAAGGGAGTTCCATTGTCGGGAAGTGCGAGGTATGAAGCTGTTGAAGTAGAACAGACGACTACATTTAGCTGTTTTGACAGTGAAAGAGTGGGACCGAGATTACAGCCTAGTTACATGTTTAAATTCATGCAATCTGGGAACTAGCGAAAGTAGCTCGTCGGAGCAGTTACCGTAAAAGTATGTGTAGAAAAGACAGAAGGTGGCGACGACACGTCTGTGAGAGAGCGACCGTAGACGAGATGCCAGATCAGGATCAATTACATTGCATTTGAGTACATTCCTTTTAATGATGGTTTCGGATTGAACTTATTCATCTTGAGACTGGTTTCAAAATGAACCCATTCATATTAAGACTCTTTTAGAGGTGCCTCTTAAAGTGTATTTCGAATTGTACCCATTCTTCTTAAGACTGAATTCGAATTGAACCCATTCTACTTAAGATTACTTTCGAATTTTGCCTTCCCTAGCTGAAGGAAGATGAATTCCAAAGACATTACCGCGAAGCGAACAAAACAGAATCAACTGTAATTTGAAATCGACACGACGATTTCATTTCACCTCAAATATTCATTACACTAAGTGCCCAACCCAAATTAAAATTACTTGATGCTAACAAAAATAAAAAGAAAGAACACATTGCAAGATTTTTATCGCTTTAGCAAAAACCCGAAAAAAATCATGGAATCAGAGATGACATTACTTTCTTCGAAACATTCAGGCAAATGAGAAAATGTCTTCTGTCAATAAGGAATTGGTCCCCTTAATTTGCAGAATCCTGTTTGAGGAAATGAAGAAAACTTTGGAAAGCAGGCCGACCATCAGGACTACATTAAAAAAAAATTAGATGTTTGGAAGATATTTGTGAGGATTGTATCCGAAGTCAAATTATTGAATGGATTAGGCTTCATCATCGAATATCCGGTCATTTTGAGCCAAGGAGCGCGATACACGGTATGCATGAGGATTGCTTCAAATATTAGAAGCTAATAGAATCATCGGTTTCATTGTTAGAAAACATTGATCCGATTGGCTGACACATGTTTGCTGTAATGAGTTTCATAGGAACAGATGTAATAAGAAATATATTAGGCTATCTATCTATGTATCTATCTATCTATGTCCATGCCTCTATCAATCTGTTTACATCTATCTATCTATCTATCTATCTATCTATCTATCTATCTATCTATCACAAACTGCTCATACCTCTCTCAATCTGTTCATATTTATCTATTTATCTATCTATCTAAGTAGTTGAGCCTGTAATGGCTATTCATTTCTTAATTTATTGGTGTTAATACCTTCAATGTCGTAACAAAAAAAGTATAAAACTATGATTTTAGAATTTGATCCTTAAACTATTTTTTTCGACCCTGTATATCTGTCATTCTTGGATTGCACACAAATACGTACATTATATATATATATATATATATATATATATATATATATATATATATATATATACGTGTATGTGTGTAATTCAAATAAACTGATATATATATATATATATATATATATATACATATATATATATATATATATGTGTGTGTGTGTGTGTGTGTAACGAATGTATGTATATATATATATATATATATATATATATATATATATATATATATATATATATATGTATGTGTGTAATTCAAATAAACTGATATATATATATATATATATATATATATATATATATATATATATATATATATGTGTGTGTGTGTGTGTGTGTGAATATGTATATATATATATATATATATATATATATATATATATATATATATATATACGTGTATGTGTGTAATTCAAATAAACTTGATATATATATATATATATATATATATATATATATATATATGTGTGTGTGTGTGTGTGTGTGTAACGAACATATATATATATATATATATATATATATATATATATATATATATATGTGTGTGTGTGTGTGTGTGTGTGTGTGTGTGTGTGTGTGTGTGTGTGTGTGTGTAACGAATGCAAGGCCGCAATTTTCGACGGATTTGCACCAAAATTTACATGCACAAGCTCCAAGTTAGCGGGAAGGCCAAGACCGTCTTTGCATTTTCTCAAATCCCATCGATAGTGGAAATAATCGATTTTTTCATGCTTCTATAGCACTTTCTATGTAGTTTGCGGCAATTTTCTACTGGCCAGAGTGAGATCCAATAGCTGGCTGCCACGAATAGGCAGAAAGATTCTATTGGCCAGCGTGAGAGTCAACAGCTGACTGACACGAATGTTAACTAGCATGCTAGCATGCAAAAAAAATCGATAGCTGTATTCATCACAAGCGGGAAAAATTTAAATCTGCATGGCACTTTACTCCAATTGACTAATTCGCTTGCTTGAACTCAACGTTGATTCTGATTCCGCAGAACTGGGTTAGGTGTGAAAAAGTATTTGTTGTTAACATTCTTTTTTCATTCGGTTTTTCCAGTTACGAGTCCTTTTTTTAAAGCTGATCGTTTTGTGTTCATTTTGTTTAGTTCTTTTTTCGTAACAGATTTAATGTTTAGTATAGAGCTTAGAAAAATTCGCAGTGTGAGATAGGCAAGAAGTAAGGCATGTAGCAACATCAGTACGGCAAAGGGCACTAATTTTAAGGCAAGGAAGACAAAAATATTTTATGTCAAGTGATAGCGATTGCTGTATGAGTCGTACGATTTTTGAATCAAGCACGGACAACGCCAGGTCATGCTGCTAGTATATATATATATATATATATATATATATATATATATATATATATATATATATATATATATAGTTTATGTAAAACTAGGTAATCTGTATAGGTAGAACCAAGGAGGATGATATCCAGAGAGCTCAATGTAAATTCAGAGCAGATATGTTTGAATAAAAACAGACCACTTTAAGGTTCCGTGTTAATAAGTTATTTTACCTTAACCCTTTTAAAAGGGCTCTGGATCATCAGACTTTACTTCCAAAGGTTGAAATGAAAAATGAAAAGAAATTTACACATTTTTGACAGACCGCATCAAGCATATGTAAAATTAACGAATTGAGGAAGTGAGGTGGGAGAGAACACATGAGTGAGTTAGATGTACCATTTCAATTCTTTATCCTTAACCCCACTCTGTGTAGGCTAGACGTCGCTTAAACTTAACGCGTGTTATCTCTAGGTATAGATGGATAAGGGGCGAGGGAGAAGACCGACATGGAACCTTAAAGTGCTCTGTTTTTATTCAAACAAAATATATATATATATATATATATATATATATATATATATATATATATATATATATATATGTTTGTACATTGGCGTTTTATCCTGTCTCTTTTAGAAATTCTATAAAGTTGTCCTTTCAAAATATAGAAGCACAGTATTGTGACTGTTTTGCATCCATAGACGATACTCTAATAATATAACCACATAACAGAAACTTACCCGACCTTGTAGAGTATTTTAATAGCGTTAAACCTACGACAGATTTTTACCTTGGAAACTGAAACTATCATAATTTGAAACTTCATAAATATTATGCAACGTAGAAACAATAATGACCTTGAGCTAAAGTTTACATCAACCAACAACAATAAACTATTACTCATATATATATATATATATATATATATATATATATATATATATATATATATTATAATTATTTTTTAAAAATATGATTCCTTCGCGACATAAGAGTTCTCAAGTTTCAAAACGAGAGCCGAAAGCATCAATATAATTATCAAAATTAAATTGAATTAAAGTAACAACCCCTGTTTCATTCTCAAGCGAAAATTTAGGAATAACTAATTTTGGCGCGACTATTTTGATAAGAGGCCTAACAGTTAATTTTTATCCACATATCAGTCACCTTCAGGGAGAAGTCAAGCTGAGGTATATATATATATATATATATATATATATATATATATATATATATATATATATATATATATATATATCCAAATAAAAAAAAGAATGAAGTTTAAAATTTAACGTTCAAAACATTAATTTAAAAAGTCTCAATACAAGAGTTGAGCAATGAATATTTATTATACACTCTTACATTGGAACATGTAAATTACTACTACAAAACTGTACATTTTGTTTCGACTTTTAATAAATAAATGTCTCATCTGGTAGTTAACAATGATGGTAATAAATCATTTTATTTAAAATAAAAATTTATGAAACATCACTTCATTTTCCTTTTTTTTGAAAAAATTCTGTAAAAGGTAGAAAGGATTTTTATAAAGAAAAAAATATGGAAGAAATCAATAAAAAGGAAAAAGGAAAAAAATAAGAAATTAATAAAAGGAAAAAGGAAGAAGAAATGTGTAATTTTGTATATATCCCTCTCTTTCTTTTGCCTTTTCTTTCTATTCTCTTATTAGTTGGGCTAATTTCTGGTGCTTTCTTTTGCCTTTCTTTTTCCTCTTTTTTTCCTATTCGGCCGTGAAATATCTGTAAGTTGAGTTTAAATACGCCCAACTATTTGCGTTCACTTTCACAAAAAAAAAAATACTCTTGGAAAATGTATGAATTCATTTCTACCATCAGCTATTGATTCAATAGCAGAGCAGACTACTTCCATGAATTGATTGACAACCATTTTTTTTTTTAAGAAAATGACAATTCGATATTCACACCCGTTCGAAGAAGAGGGACTTGCAACTCTATCAGGTAAAACCTATTTGCAAGAGCTGTCCCAGAAACCTTAGGAGTCGTCTCACCAGCAGACTACCCACAGCACAATCTGCAGCGGCATCATCAGGTATGATATAGATGTGACCCTATGCTACAGAATTTATAGCATAGTTTCTGAACTATTCAATAGGTTTCCTCTATACTATATAGTGTAGAGGAATCATATCTGTATACTATCTGCTTTATTATTTATTTCATGTAAATTGTTTCATTGCTTCATTTTTATTATAATAGTTTCCGGAATGTTAAGTCTGAATTTAACAAAATGCGTTTTCATATTCCTGGCCCCAAAAGAATGTCAAATGTCCATATAGATATATGTCCAAAATGCCATCGTTGTATCTCAACACAGCAACTCATGACAAATGTTCAAAATGTCCTCCTCTTGCTTCTACACACAAATACACCAATCGGATCATTGAATGGCAGACCCTTTCAAATAGTCCCACAAGGTGTCAAATAGTTTCACAGATCCTCATGGCATGAATTGTATCTGCATTATTAATGACTGATTAATTCAGTAAACTTTCTATTTCTCAATTGTTTAAATAATTCGGGATAGTTTTAAGAAACGTGATAAAATATAACTAAACAGATTATTTCTATTTATTTTAGATAATCCCATAAATGTTTCTCTACTCGGTTCACTTAATTTGTAAAGATATGAAACATCAGACGTCCATAATGCTTATTACTACGAACGTTGTAGGTTTTCTAAATTAAGATTGAATTTTGACTGGCAAATATAATTTATTTCTATAAATACACGATGAATTAAAGGAAATGTTTGCTTATATATCGCCATTTTGATTATTTATTAAATTATATTTTTAAAATTACTCTGCAAAATAAACTCTACATCTTATGTTGTAAATATCAGTTGTTAGTCAGTCAGTTATATGTGATACACGCTTAGGCGATTATGTATCTTTCGATACATGAGTGACGAGGCAGATTTTTTCCCGCTGTGTGTTGCCATTTATTTCTGCAGTAGACCACTTACGATCCAAGGCTATAGAACTCGGTCTGTCCTGCTTTTTACCTATAGTTGGGGGAGAAGAAGAGGATTCATACCTTTCCAAAGAATATTAGCACGCAAGTGAATATAATGGATTCGGCAGGAATTCGAACTCAGCTCTCCGATTCCTCAATCCGAGCCGCTATTCATTAGTCCACCATGCCTCATTGTTAGTAATTTCTAGTAATATATAATAAAGACTACCATTGTAACTATGTAATATATGTTCGACAGATTGTCTCGTTAGTAAATCAACATTATCTGTGAATAGAGGTATTTCAGAGTGAATAGAGTTGTATTTGTGAAAGCTTGTTTTACTCGATCAATTACATCTGAGTAGTGAGTTTGAGACTCTCTCGTTGCTCCTATTTGACGCCTTGTGCCACAACTATGTGTGAGCAGTACGGGCTATAATTTTTATCCTACTAATGTAAAGTGGGGACATACAGACAAAATTTATCCTTACGCCAATTTATAAAAAAAAATGAGGCAAATAAAATGTAGAAGTGGTAGTGAGATTGCTAATAGTTAATCAAGGCTAAATGA